TATGCTAAAAGCCATACATTGGATAGAATAAATTATTTCTACTTTTGCTCTACCAGAACTGATAAAAAGCCTCCTTCACTGTCAATAGTTATGATCAGCATTTAAATATTGAGATTTGTATGCAGGAAAGCAATCCAGAATTATACATTTTAGTCTTTGGAATCTTGCCCATAATACCAGATTAGCAAAATGACTCAACAAACAGTTACCTCATACGAGTAAAATATAATAAACTAAATGTTCCAGTTCTTGATGCTGTTTATTCTTCTTCCAATATAACCTCAGATATGCCTCCTCATATTTTAAGAGAACTCAATGCAAAACCAGGAAGAATTTATACGTGCTTTACTGTTTTGCACCTACTGAAATCCCAAGTTTATAGAAATATGCAGAAATGATACGAACTGCATTACCATTTGAAGAGCCCAAGCTCCACTTTTCTTGATTTATAGTTTATCTTCTATAAATGCAAATTACAAANCTTTTTTTAACTTTCTTGCAAAATGATCAAGCCAGCTCAAGATCACTGCAAAAACGCAAGAGTGAGATGCTGCATAGCCGAGGACAAAAAATTCCCAAGTCATGTTATCACTCAGTCTTCTGAAATGGTATAGGTCCGTGATGGCGAACCTATGGCACACGTGCCACAGGTGGCACACGGAGCCATTTCTGAGGGCACGCAAGATGTTGCCCTGTCAGCTCCAGCGCGCATGTGCGTGCTGGCCAGGTGATTTTCGGCCTTGATTTTCGGCCGTTTTTCGCCCTTTGAAGGCTTTCCTTGAAGCCTCCAGAGGGCTAAAAACCGCCCAACGCACAAACCGGAAGCTCGGGAACGGACTTCCGGTTTACACATTGGACTCTTTTTCACCCCACTGGAGGCTCCAAGGGAAGCCTCCTAAAGTCTCCGGAGGGAGAAAAACGGCCCAACACGCAAAGCGGAAGTCACTTCCCAAACTTCCGGTTTGCGTGTTGGGCTGTCTTTCGCCCTCCGGAGCCTAGGGGGGGCGAAAAACAGAGCTACTGGGCCCACCGGAAGTCAGAAAACGGGCCGTTTCAGGCCTCTGGAGGGCCTCTGAGGGAACGAGGAAGGCCATTTTTGCCTTCACTGGGCTCCAAGAAAGGCATGTGCACATGTGTGGTGCCGCAGGGCAGGGTCATGCGCGCATGCGCAGGGGGCACAGCATGGTGGGCATTAAATTATGGGGGTGGGCACGCAGGCACGCGCAATGGCATGCACACGTGTGCTTTTGGCACCTAGGGTGAAAAAGGTTCACCATCACTGGTACAGGTTCTCCTGCTCGAGCAAGGGGTTGGACTAGAAGACCGCCAAGGTCCCTTCCAACGCTTCTGTTATTCCAACCCAATGAGCCGCCTGAAGATCTTGGATTAGGGTGATGGAAACCAAACTGAGATTGCCATGGAAGTTGGATCCTCCATTTCTCCACGATTAATGCACTTTCTAGATATCATAAGGGGCCTTAAAATCCAGGTTAGAGTTAGGCTGTTGGGCTTCAGATCTACTCAACAATAATAGGTCTATTGAATGTCTATGGAGATTCTCAATCCTCCAGATCAGGCCTGTCTCAAATGCTATTTTCCAAAAAAGACAATTGGACCTCTTTGGTTTTCTCCCTGAAAACATTTTGCTTCTCATTCAAGAAGCTTCTTCAGTTCTTCCATTCTTCTGCTAACTGCAAAGAATCCTTCCATTTGGTTAGAACTGAAGAAGCTTCTTGAATGATAAGTGAAAAGTTTTCAAGGAAAAAAACCCCAAGAGAGTCTAGTTGTCTTTTGGGAAAGCACCTTTCTATGGAATGTTTTCCCGGGGCAGATAATGTAGCAATGAGACATCAACCAATTCTCATGATGTGCTCTACGTCCCCTGCAGTCAAACATCTAGAATGCGTGTCCTCATTGGTTAACCCAAATCATCCAAAATGAATGTGTCATTTCTAAATAACTGAGAAAGCACAATATCAATCAATGCCTATGCTGT